CATTTTAATACAATCTGCCTTTTGCATTTCTGAGCTGTTTGCTTCATTGTGTCAGAAATGGTTCATCAGTAATTTTTAACTCATCACTAAATGTTGGTATTTCTACTTGTTAGGTCTGCTTTGAGGAAACTTTAGAATGCTTTGCAGATAAAAGGTCTAAAGTACATTTCATGTATGATGATAATTATTTTTGTTGACAGGTTTCTCGCTGTATATATTAGACAAATATAAAGCTTAACAAGTAAATAATTTCCTTTTAAAAACTGTGCAAGGCAACAACTTATGTTACAAAATGAATAAAAGCTTTATCTATAATGAGTAATTTTTCATGTTCTGACTTCTTGTTGCAGCTGTTATTTCCCAGCAATATTTCAGCTTCAGTGTTTAAATGATGCGCTGAGTTTGATATCCATTTGAATAAATTTAATTGTCGCAGTTTTATTCTCCCTGAGATGCTCGTTTGATTTGATATAATTTTGTGTGTTTTTCAGCAGTGGAAAGTCAGAGTTCCAGCTCCAGCTTCAGCTCGGACGACCTGTTTACCCGTCCTGCCTCACCACCTCCACCTCCACGCACTTACAAACCCTGCTTTGTGTGTCAGGACAAGTCCTCGGGCTACCACTATGGAGTCAGCGCCTGCGAGGGCTGCAAGGTAACACATCAGGCTGGTGGTCTGCTTTACAATGCCCCCTCTGTTAAGCTTGGATAAAATCCCAGACTTTGTCTTTTAAAAGTAAGTCCCTGTGTCATGCTTGTATTTACAAGATGGTCTTAGTTTTTCCTGCTAATCTCCTAAACAGATAAACAAACAAATACCTTCTTAATATGCAAAATGTGACAATATCATATGTTTTAGTTTTTTCCTGTATAAATTCACATTTTTTTTTTACCTAAATCAGTTCAAATTAAATGAACCACTGGATAGACAGACACAGTATTTGTTTTTGTTTTTTCTTAATCCATTTTCCTTTTCTTTTTTTTCTGAAGACCAAACAATTTAATTTAACTCCTTGTTTGAGTTAAATATCTGAAATACATTTAAACAGGCTAAATATTTACTCTTTAGGTGTAAAGGAGTAAATTTAGGAATAAATTAATCTTTTTTGTCTAGCTTTAAAGTCCACACAGGCCTTTTTTCACATTGTAGCAACTTAATAGCTTAATTAATTAATATCTTATCATTCATTCATTGTCCCGGTGTCTCTGCAGGGCTTCTTCCGCCGCAGCGTGCAGAAAAACATGGTGTATACCTGTCACCGCGACAGGAACTGTATCATTAACAAGATCACCAGGAATCGCTGTCAGTACTGTCGGCTGCAGAGGTGTTTCGCTGTAGGAATGTCTAAGGAGTGTAAGTGTCACATCCTCTCTGAGTCACAGCAGGCCTCGAGGGATTTAGAGTCAAAATTAAACCTTTCTTTTAAAATGATTCATCTGCTATTACAAATACGACTAAAAGGTCAGTGCAGTCATGTTGTCAATTTGAATGACCAACTCAAGTTTATCAGCATGTATGGAGCTGGTCAGTTTGTGAGTGTGGTTTACTCAAAGTTATTTGTGTCAAGTTTTACATAATACTGGGTTTGTGGTTTCGTTGGGATGACCGAGTGTTCAGAAATTTGATATAAGGAAACTGCATATTTGAGAATTGGATATTACGGAGCCCCTCTGATGACATGGTCCAAAAAATAAATAAATTGTGGCCACAAAATACTACTTCGTGGGCACGAAATAGGTATAACGTGCGCACAAAATGCTAATTTGTGGGCACGAATTGGGTATAACGTGGCAACAAATTACGCATTTGTGGCAATGAAATAGGTAACGTGCACACATCATATTGATGCAATTCCTGGACAGCTGCGTAGAGACATAAGCATAAGAGTAGGCTAAACCTATACATCATGGACAGAGACGGTATGATTGAGTTTTATTTTAGGCTGGGAATGAGCTACAAATGCATTTTGAAGCCTGGCAATGCAAGGAACCATTATTACGGAGAGACATTTAAACAGGATATTGAGAGCCCAGTTGCTTTACAGACGTAAGTACGACCTGGACGCTGGGATAGATTTTATTGTCAACCAACTGCAAGGGCCTGGGAAGGATCACGGTTATGTCAAGGTCAAGTGTTTCGTGTCCACAAATAAGTATTTCGTGGGCACGAAGTAGTATTTTGTGGCCACAATTTATTTATTTTTTGGACCATGTCCTCAGAGGAGCTCCATAGGATATAACTGTGTAACCTTAGACAAATAGTGCAGTGCAAAAGAAACTCTCTCCATCCAACAACCTATTTTCTCACCAGCTTATCTAACTCTGGGTCATGGAGGGGGAGGCTTTAGCCTATCACAGCTGACTTTAAACGAGAAATCCTCCCTCTCAAGTTTTCATCTTACTGAGATACGCTGATAAAAACTGCCACATAAGCGGCCTATTTATTACTGCACAATCAGAGCAACAAGCTATGTATTGAAGTTTTAATGCAATTTGTTGTTACCTATATGGTGGTAAACATGCACAAAGAAGAGACAGATTGTTTCCCATAAAAGGTGCCTGCCATTAAAACTACACGTATGTTAAAAATAAGAAATAATAATAATAATATAACAAAACAAAATGAGCAGGAAAATGCTCCTCTTATTGATCTGTGGTAATCTATATTCAAGAAAGTCTTTTTTCAGAAAAAGTTTAAGCTAAAGTAGAAGAAAAAGAAATTAAACTTCTTTTGTCAATTCAAAATGCATAATGTTGTAATATATTGTCTGTCAGCATATTTAGAGTCTTTATTGTTTAATTGTAACTGGGTAGCACTTTAAGACTGAAAATTCATAGTTTTGTTTGTCAGAGAGAAAATATATAAAATCTAGAATAACAAACGCATATATACGACCAAGGTAATGCATATTAAAGCAAACTAAATCATAGCTACATAATAAAGGTGTAGCTTAAGAACCGCTGATACACTCTTGAGCTCTCAAAGGGAGTTTTAATGCTTTGTCATCTTAACAACCCAAGATTTTCATTTTGTTAGTGGGTTAGCAAATATTTTTTTTGTGTGTGGTAACTACAAACGTCTTTATTTTAGAATATATAATTAGTTGTAAGTGAGAAAAATGTGCAAATAACACTTTAACATATGATTTTCTCTTTTTTTATAAGTTCTCTGTGAAGTGCAGCAGCTCTCGGGCACAGGGACTGTACAATAGAAACAAAGGCTCTAATACCCAGCAGTGCAGTGACCTAAATAACTGAGAATGTGTTATGTGGAATGAGCAAAGGGCGGCGACAGGCCGACACTGAAGGATCCACCCATCCACATGTTTTCATTATAGTTTTTCTGTGCTCAAACACGTTACATAAACATATCACATGTAGTGGACAGATGGATGCTATGTAACTGCTCTCAGGCAGCGTGTAACATGATCTCTATTGGAGTGTTTACACAATGACGGCTGGATGTAGGGCATACACAGGGAGGAGGAAGAGGAGGAGGAGTGGTTGGAGTTAAGTGTTGCGTAATCCTGAGCTTTCCTGACATGTGTGTAGCCGTCTGAGGCAGTGGGACACAGAGAAACGTGTTGACACTGTTCCCGAAGTGATTATGAAAAGCTAACCTGGTTACGCTGCTTTCACGTGCAGCCTGGAATAACACATAAGCTCAGTGACACATGCTTTCATTCCGGAGTGATTTATACCAGGAAGTAGTTTAAATTATTAAGAACCAAAACTGAAATTCCAGTGAGCTCTATTTAAGTCACGCCTGATGTCTAAACATCGTTAAGGTAAAATGGGTTAAAACCGCCATTCATATACTGGTGAATGCAGTCTGCTGGGTCCTGATTAAAGGAACAGTTGTGTTTGGCTGATGGTAAGATCAGGGATCTGCCAGGGAACACTATCTGTTGCAGGACTTCCTGTTTTTTGTTTGTTTGTTTTATACAGACCTATGTCAGATTACAAGAAAAACTAACATAGAGGTCAATGTTTCTTCGCTCAAACTCTGCTTAAAGGATGAAGACAATTTTTCATAAGACATCCTCGTTTCATACAACTTATTGATACACATGTGTCTTCACAGTACTTACATGGGTTGTTTATTGTCTATCTTAGAGCATTGAGAGTTTTTGCTCTCAGCTCTTATCCACCAGTGTACGTTATATCCTTGGATCACATCGTGTGCTTTTGTCGTTCCCTTGACTAAAACACTGATGCAGCCTTATTTGTCAGGCGATTCTTGCTTTGCCTCCAGCTTGCTTACTGACTTACATTAATCAGTCAAAAAAAAGTGTGGGACGTTATTGACTCGTGTCCCAAGTCTCCTAACTTCTGTCTGTGCAGAAAGTCAACACTGAATTTGAAAAAAATAGTATGGCTCCTGCTTCTGGAGTCAACTGCAAAATCAGCTAATCTTTAGGATCTGGTCTCAAAAAAGGAGTCTGACATGATTTTAAGTGATCAGGATATAGATACAGACAATTACCTACACTTGTGTTTTTGCTCAGTTTAGTTTAAAGATGAACATTGTATAGCACATTCATTTTAAACTTCCTTAGGAGTTTAAGTGGGTTGAGTTATGTTCATCCTAAAGTTGAAACCTTTAAATGAGGATGGTTGTCATCCTGGTAGAGTGTGCTCCAATTGTGATATAAATCTTTAATTAAAGGATAAATTTATTCACTAAGAACAGCTGTTTTCATTTTCAGTGATTCATTGCTCTAGGGGCACTAATGAGCCTAATGAACCTAAACCATGCTACCAAAATGCCTCCCATAACATATCAGAGCCACTAGATCACCTCACTGTAGGGACCAGTTTTCAGGTTGTTTCTTCGTTGGTATCGTTGTACGATTTTCCCTGTGTATTTGGCCTCAGACAGAAAACAAAAAAAACAACTTTTTTTCATATTAAACACTTTTTTGTTCTTTTAAAAGGTTAGTTTATTAACTTGAGCATTTTTAATATAAATACTCAAAATTAAAGAAGGTGTTTTGTAACGTTAACATTTATTTAAACAGAGAGTGATACCAGTTTAACCAATTTTAAACCACCTCTGGAACTGCTCGAATACCTTATTTCCTAATCATCTTATGCTCTGCGTCATCCGTTTTCCCCAGCGGTGAGAAACGACAGAAACAAGAAGAAGGGGAAGAAGGAAGCAGTGAAGATGACCATCATGGAGACGTACGAGCTGACAGCAGAGCTCGGCCTGATCGTGGAGAAAATATGCAGAGCTCATAGAGAGACCTTCCCCTCCCTTTGCCAGCTGGGAAAATACACCACAGTAAGTCCGGACATGAAGCTAACGTTTCAAAACAATAATCTTTACAGAAGGAAGACAACCTGCAAAGAGGAAAAGATCAAAGCTGTGAGGTCTGTCCAGCACTTTATTATGATTTTAATTGACTTGGGTAAACATTGTATGGATGTGTAGATGAAGGAGAATTTTAACTTATATGGCAGAAACTGAAAAATAAGATTATATATCTCCCAATGTTTTTATATTTTTTTTTTTTTTCACGCGATATGTGAAAATGTGTCTTTTTTTCATGTGTTTTTTGTGCTCTTTCTACCCTTTTTTGTTGTTTTTTTGGTTTTTTTCTCTCTTTTTTCGTTTTTTAACACAAACACTATATATTTTTTAAATTATGCTGCTCGTAATTATGATAAAGTAGGGCAGATTAGATGGCAAAGCTGCCTTGTGACTGATGAAAATGATGGTATGTTTGTGCATCTTCCTTCATCTGGTTGTATTACATGGAAAAGACTTGAAACTAAATGGTGGCTCCATGGTTGTTATGTCCTCGTTTTATAGTCTGTGACCGAAAGAAGAAAGATGTTGACTGTCAGGGCAGTGACATTTAAATACTTGATATATGATTATTATTACCAGACAAAAACGGACAGCATTGAATACTCACTGCTGCATGCCTGGCTCAT